CCTCCTCCTCCTCCTCCTCCTCCTCCTCCTCCTCCTCCCCCTTCCCGTCCCCCGACCTCCCTTTGCTTCCTCGCCCCTGCCCGCGGCGCCCGACCTCTGGGCACCCGGGTATTTGGCCCAGCCGACCGCGGCCCCAGCCTCAGCTCCTGGTCGGCGGTGGGCAGCGCCTGCTCCTCCTACGTCCCGCCGCGCGGCTCCACCTCGGTGCCAGGAGGCGCGGTGGCCCCCTCGACGGGGCGGGTGCCGCCAGAGCCGAGGAGCGAGGAGGAGCGAGGAGGAGGAGGGATGAGGCAGAGGATGGGGAGGCGGAGGGGGCAGATTAGGAGGAGGAGGAGGAGGAGGAGGAGGAGGAGGAGGACGAGGACGAGGACGAGGAGGAGGAGGAGGACGAGGAGGAGGAGGAGGAGGAAGAGGAGGGAGGAGGAGGAGGAGGAGGCGGGGGGAGGAGGAGGAGGAGGCGGAGGAGGAGGAGGAGGAGGCGGAGGAGGAGGAGGAGGGAGGAGAAGCGAGGACTGGGCCGCCCGATCCTCGCTTCTCGGGCGCTGCTAGAGGGGCGACCACTGGCCCGAGGTGGCCCCAGCCTTTCCATCCAGGGAGGCCCATGTGGGGCGGGGGGAGGGGAGAGGGGGCCGGACCAGCAGCGGCAGAAGGAGGAGGAGGAGGAGGAGGAGGAGGAGGAGGGGGAGGGGGAGGGGGAGGAGGAGGCGGAGGAGGAGGAGGAGGAGGAGAAGGAAGGAGCAGAGTCGCGGAGCAAGGCGCTCGCGCGCCGGCTGCGGGCAAGCAGCTCTCCGTGCGGGCCGCCTGCGGCAGGATGGACAGTTTGGCGGCGAAGAAGATGAAGAGCAGCGTGTCCGGCGAGATGAGGAGGAGCTCGTCGGGATCCGCAGCGAGAGCAACAAAGGCTAAGGCAAGCGCCAAATTCATGGTGCCCGGCTGGCGACCGGTGGAAGCTTTGGGATGGTAAGACTCGCGAGCGGACGGGAGGGAAAACCGAGAGAGGAGTGATGAGGGAGAGGCACATTGGGGGGAGAGTTTGATGTGGATGGGGAAGGGCAGGGGCAGGGCATGTAACCCCTCCCCCTCTCGTCCTCTCTCCCCCTCTCCAATCCTCCTCTTCCTCCTCCTCCTCCTCCTCCTCCTCCTTCTCCTCCATCTCCTCCTCCTCCTCCTCCTCCTCCTCCTCCTCCTCCATCTCCTCCTCCTCCACCTGCTCCTCCTCCTCCTCTCCTCCTCCTCTGCTCACCTTCTTCACATTCCTCCTCCCTCCTCCTCTTCCTCCTCCTCCTCCTCCTCCTCCTCCTCCTCCTCCTCCTCCTCCATCCTCCCTCTACGGGCAGCATCGACTGCGAGGGCGGAGCGCGTCCCTCCCTCCTCCCCCCTCCTCCTCCTCCTCCTCCCCTCCTCTTCCTCCTCCTCCTCCTTCCTCCTCCTCCTCCTCCTCCATCCTCACCTCGTCCTCCTCCTCCTCCTCCTTCTCCTCTCCTCCTCCTCTCCTCCTCCATCCTCCTTCTCCCTCCTCCTTCTCCTCATCCTCCTCCTTCTCCTCCTCCTCCTCCTCCTCATCCCCCCCCCTCGGCTGCTTTCCCGCTCGCTTCTTCTGCCCCGTCGCCTGGTCCTGCTCTTCTGGGTGTAGGATTCAGTCGGGCGTGTACCTCTCTACAGGAGGAACGTCCAAGCATAGGTTTTTTAAAAGATAGTCTGGGGACGATGTTTCGACTATGTTTGAGCATTTGGGAAGCTTTTTGCGAGTATGTTTTATTTGTCGCCCAAAATCCGCCTGTAGGGGGACATGCCCGACCTAACGGTAGGAGAGGGGTGCGGTGCACAAAGGGGTGCGGTGTTAATAATGCCGGGCCTGGCGAGGTCAGCTACCGATCGCAGATATAGCATCGACACGTCCACGGTTGGCACCACTCACCCGTTTATGCCACACCCCTTGCCGACCGCCAGCGTTCTGTCCCAACCTTCAGTATCGTTGAACCAATCCCCATCCCCATCCCCGCCCCCTTCGAGACCCCCACCAAACTACCACCCCAGCTGGGGATGCACCCCTCGAAACCCGAAGGGAGGGGCCCACATCCCCCTCCAGGGTGGTAAATCGGCCAGTGGGGCCCAGGCCACGCCGCTGGGGATGAGGATGGGCCAAACGATACTCCGACCCGGCGTCTTGCTCTCCCGGGCCCCGTCGCCCCGCGGCCTCGTCGCCCGACCGGAGACCCTGTGCGGAGCGCAGGGCCCTGCTCGGCGACCCTCACCCGTCCCGCTCCGCTCCCCGGCGCGGACGTGTCCAGGGCCTTTTCTCCCAGTGTAGGTCCTGGATCGCCCGGGGGAGGTTCCAGGACGGACGGACTCGCCTGGGGGGGTGTCGGTCCGAGCAGTCGGGTCGCCCGGGGGGGTCTCGGCTGCTAATCAGTTCCCGTACGAGTCGCCCGGGGGGTCTCGTGCGGGAACAGCCCTCGTGAGCGCCGGCCCAGGTGCCCGTGGACAGCATGATGGACATGGGCGACGCGGGCAGGTTCAGCATCGTGGACGTCATCAGCGGCCAGACCCTCTTGGTGGTCCTGTCGCAGAACGACCAGGCACGGCCTGGAGAGCGCGGTGAATCCTCCGCTTTCTCCTCTTCCTAGTTTTCCTCTTCCTCCTCCTCCTCCTCCTTCTCCTCCTCCTCATCATCATCGTCATCGTCGTCATCATCATCACCATCACCATCATAATCCAAACCGCTCCTCCCCCGCCCTTCCCTTACTCCGTAGCCTTCCCTTCCCCATCTCAGCATGCCAGCCTCCGGCGCACCAAATCCAAGAGTGTAACATGCAACGCATCAAAATCAATAATTTTCAGACGCATGTCAGACAATCAGGATCGTCCGCCGTGGTCTCAGTTCCGTGGTGGGGTCCGCACCAGCCGAGAACTGTTTGAGCGTCCTTTGTGCACCTCTATATTGCTCGCCTCACAAAAAGGATCAATGAGGGATTCTTCAGGTTCCTTGTCTGAGGAGAGATGTGCGCGGTGCAAGGAGCGCACCAGACTATCTGCTCAGACGTCCACAATGAGTGAGAAGGGCCAGCCCACCCTGAGAGCCGATGCCTTCCCCGACGCGGCACCCTGTTGACCCCGCGCCTTGTGATGACGACGACGACCCACACTGGGCACAGCCGAGACCATCGTCGAAACTCACAATGATGCTGCCTTCAGTTAACCCTCTTTGTCAAGACGAACTTCGGTGCACTAGACTTTGCTCGCCCTGAGCGTTTGGAGGGATCGATACCGGGATGATTCCACCAGTGCGAGGCCCCAATGCGAGACAGCCACAACAGGAGGTAGACACCGCCCGCCGAGACGTGCCGCATTGCCGTGGCGAGTGCGGCAGCACGGCTGCGAATGCTCCAGGTCGCCCGCAGGGGCACGGGGAGGCGTTCGCTCCGCGCGTCGCCGCCCGAGCCGCAAAAACGTGTCCCTTTCCAGGGCAGCGGCGCGAGGGCGCAGGGACGAGCGGCACGCCGCGCACCGCGGGGCGCAGTGGGCGAAGCTAAACGACCTAGATTCAGAGCCCCGAATCATCAGGGGTAACTCGGGTCAGGGCTAACTCGGGTTCGTTTCTCGGGACTCCGAACCCGAGTTACCCCGGACCCGAGTTACCCCGGATAACTCGGGCGCCCAACTAGATCGTGAAGGAAAAGTTCCCTTCGATGACAACCCCCAGCCCTTTCCAGAAAATGACGCGCGGGAGCCTCGCTTTTTGAATTGTTCCCGCCGCTGCGCTGGCGCGACCCCTGGGGAATTTTTCGCTCTTTCGCTGCACCGCGAGACGTCGCGGAGGAGGAGGAGGCGGAGGAGGAGGAGGAGGAGGAGGAGGAGGACGAGGACGAGGAGGACGGAGGAGGAGGAGGGAGGAGGAGAAGGGGGAGGAGGAAGAGGAGGAGGCGGAGGACGAGGAGAAGGAGGGATGAGGCAGAGGATGGGGAGGCGGAGGGGCAGAGTAGGAGGAAGAGGAGGAAGAGGAGGAGGAGGAGGAAGGAGGAGGAGGAGGAGGAGGGAGGAGGGAGGAGGAGGTGGAGAAGGAGGAGAAGGAGGGAGGAGGAGGAGGAGGAGGAGGAGGGAGGAGGAGGACGCAGGAGGAGGAGGATCTATGGGTGTATGCTCCTGGCTCTCCACGCTGCCGGTTTCTGGCGCCAAGCGCCGCCCGCCCTCTCGGACTTGGATCCCGAGAGTCCCAGGCGTCAGGCGGGGGTCAGCATGCGAGCCCGGCCGCCTCCCGCCGGGCTGCCGTCGTCGGCGGCCGGGGCTCTGCTGTGAAGCAGCGCGCGCGGCGGGAGACCCCCCCCCACTGCGCAGCATGTCTATGACTCGATCGACGCACTCGAGGCCCAACGTTCACCACCCACCAAACCACCCCAACCCAACCCGAAGGCTCAGACTTAACCTCGATTTCCAGTGGGGGGGGGTCGGGAAACATCGAAAAAACACATGTGGAACCCTTACCCCCCCAACCCGAAATTCGGGTCTTCGGGTTGGGTTGGGGTGGTCTGGTAGGTAGTCAAACGTGGTTCGAGAAGGGGTTATGGGCCATTGCGAAGCAGCGCGCGCGGCGGGAATCCCCCCTTGCTGCGCAGCATGTCTATGGCTCGATCGACCCACGCGAGGTCCAACGTTGTTCGAGAAGGGGTTATGGGCTACTGCGAAGCAGCGCGCGCGGCGGGAATCCCCCCTTGCTGCGCAGCATGTCTACGGCTCGATCGACCCGCTCGGGGTCCAACGCGTTAGAGAAGGGCTTATGGCCTATTGCGAAACAGCGCGCGCGGCGGGAATAGGCCCAACTTGTTTAAAGAAGGGCTTGTGGCCTATTGCGAAACAGCGCGCGCGGCGGGAATCCCCCCCCCCGCTGCGCATAATGCCTATGACTCGATAGACCCACTCGAGGCCCAACGTGGTTCGAGAAGGGTTTGTAGTCTATTGGGGCGGGCAGGCGTCGGCTGCCGAATCCCTACCGCGAAACAGCGCGCGCTTCGGGACCCCCCCCCGCTGCGCATAATGGCTATGATTCAGTAGATCCGCTCGAGGCCCAGCGTGGTTCGAGAGGGGTCGATTGGGGCAATGGCAATGGCAACCGTCGTTGGGGGAGCGCCATTGTTTTTTTGCCTTCAACGGCTTCAGCTACCCACGTGCACCACTGGGGGGCGGGCGACGCCACCCCATGGGGAAGAAGAAAAAACGAACACCGATGGCTCAGAGGCGGCGGCGCAGCACACAACTCTACATATACCTGCAGGCCCCGAGGGGGAGAGGTGCAGTCAGAGACCTGGGACTGACCAGTAGGCGACGGCGCCACACGAGACAGAAGCAGATCGCTGAAGCCACTAATCAGAGGGATACCCATTTGGGAAAACAGGGCGGACAAGTGGCTGCTTGTCTCCTCTCGACGCAAGGAAGCCGTGACACTGCGCAAGGCGTCGGGACGAGCAATAGGCGGCGAGGAGCCGTCGCCGAAAAAAGAAGGAGCATCTTCTTCCTCTTCATCAAGCCTGCGCAGCTCCATGGGCGAGAGTTGGCCAAGCCGAGCCCGTCCATGCTCGATCGCACCAGAGGAGCTGCTGGCACCCACGTAGGGAGCGCCATGGGGGACACTGATCAGACAGGGCTGTGTTTAGTCAATGGTCTCTTCGGGCCGGGCTTCCAGCGGGAATGGGGGTCTGCCAAAGGTTGGGTCTCTTTCTGATTCTGACGTTGTGGAATACGATCTCTCTCTCTCTCTCTCTATCTCTCTTTCTCTCTATCTCTCTGGCACCAAGTCTTGCAAGAGCGTCCGCGCGCCAGTTCTCATAGTGCCAGTGCGGAGGGATCCCTCGGGTGGCAGGCACCCGCGCGGTGCAGTGCGGTGGTGTCTTCTCCGCGGTCCAGGCTTTCTCCGAAGGGCTTGGGCGACCCGTCCTCCTCCTCCTCCTCCTCCTCCTCCTCCTCCTCCATCTCCTCCTCCCCCTCCCCCCACTCCTCCTCCTCCATCTCCTCCTCCCCCTCCCCCTCCTCCTCCTCCTCCTCCTCCTCCTCCTCCTCCTCCTCCTCCTCCTCCATCTCCTCCTCCTCCTCCCCCTCCTCCACCTTCTCCAGCTCCTCCTCCTCCTCCTCGGGTCGCCTGCGGCCCAAGGGGACAACCGTGCACTCCACGGTGGTGCCATCAGGATCCACGCCAGTCGCCTTCCACCGTCATGTTCGGCACAATGCGGCGCACTGGCAGCCAGGCTCGGGGCACCCGAGAAGCCTCTTCCACGCCTGCCTCGCAAACGCAGGCGGATCTAGGCACGCGCGGGGCTCACCTCATCTCTCCTCCCCTCTCCTCTCCTCCGTTCCATGTCTAGGCCAGCTCGTGTGTGTGTGTGTGTGTGTGTGTGTGTTTGTTTGAGCTCGGCTGGGGTAGTTGATGGCCACTCTCGCAGGACAGCCGTTTGCAGAGATGTCGTGTGTGTATGCGCTTCGAGGGGGAACCTCACTCGGTTGCCTATAGCGCCTGTACTTCGAGTGGTTGCCACGACTACCGCACAGGTTTCTGGAACTGGCACCTAGGAGGGTGCATGGGATGGAACACGCCCACACATCTTGTTATTTTCATTCGTCTCATTCGCATTCGTAGTTGTAGTAATATCATCGTTTTTTCTGATTTGTATTAACCATATCACTTTTCGCATCCGTCGTATCATTATTAAAGTCATTATTCGTAGTAATAGTTGTTGTTGCATTCGTATTAGTCGTAATATTGTGATTGTTGCTATCATCAGTGCTATCCTTAGCAATAATCGTATTTTTCGGGGTAACATTAAATCCTGATTACTTCTATGACTACAATAAATAATATGAATGTTAGCAGTCGTGTTGTTATTATCCCTCTCCTCCTCCTCCTCCTCCTCCTCCGCCTCCTCTTCCTCCTCCACCCCCTCCTTCTCCTCCTCCTTCTCCTCCTCCTCCTCCTCATCCCCCTTCTATTCATCCCTCCACCTGACGCTGGTGCTGCGGGCAGGTTCGAGCAATCTCCGATACCTTCGAACCCCCCATCGATGACCAACACTGAGTGCGTCGGAGGAAGTAAGCTCCTAGGAGAAGGGCTTCAAATGAGCACATCACACCGCCCTCCGCCTCATCCCTCTCCTTCTCCGCCTCTCCCTCTCCTTCTCCGCCTCATCCTTCTCCTCCTCCGCCCTCTCCGCCCTCCGCCTCATCCCTCTCTTTCTCCCTCCTCCCTCTCATCCTTCCTCCTACTCCCCCCATGTCTTCCTCCCCTACTCATCTCTTCTTCTTCTTTTTCTTTTTCTTCTTCTTCTTCTTATTCCTCCTCCTCCTCCTCGCCCTCCTCCTCCTCCTCCGCTGCCTCCTCCTCCTCCGCTTCCTCCGCTTCCTCCTTCCCTGCTCATCGCTTTCTCCTCCTCGAGCCAAGGGAGGAGGACGCAGGACGATCCGGATCCCCGCCAGGGCTTCCGGAGGCTCCAGCTCCTCACCGAGACCATGGCCTTGTGCGCGAGCGCGGGGCCGCCAGAAGGCGCCCAGGGAGGCGTCTCCAGGCCACGACAGCTCCTTTGCCTCCTCCTCCACAATTACTCAATATGAATACTACTCTCCCTCTTCCCCTGATGACGGTTTGAAAGTGCTCGACCCCCCCCCCCGTATTGTTTTTTTACACACAGGTTTCCCCGGGGTTGGGTTTTCGCCTGCACTTTTTTTCAAAATGCTGCTCTCGCTGAGGCGCCGGCCTCATTTTCGGGCCCCGCTCGTTCCGAATCGTGCTCCCGCTGCAGCGCTGGCCTCATTTCCGTGCTTCCGCTCGTTCCGAATCGTGCTCCCGCTGCAGCGCTGGCCTCATTTCCGCGCTTCCGCTCGTTTCGACTCGTGCTCCCGCTGCAGCGCTGGCGTCATTTCCCGTGCCATGCCACGGCATGCAATGCAATGCTAGGTTGACACTACGCTTTGCGGTGCTCTTCTACGCCATGCCATGCCGTGCTCTATAATGCATCGCGTACCCTTTCGGGATCATTGCCCTGCTCGACATCCGACTGTGCGAGTAGAGAGGGGATCTACGCCATGGTAAGGGATGGGAGGGAGGGGTAGGATGTCAGATATGACGCGAGCGCACCTAGCTTGTCCTCCACCTCCTCCCCCTCCTCTTCGTCCTCCTCTTCCTCCTCCTCCTCCTCCCCCTCCTCCACATGTTCTGCCTCCTCCTCATCATCACCATCACCCTCATCATCATCACCATCATTCTCATCATCAGCACCATCCGCAGCAACATCAGCATCACCATCATCTTCATCATCACCACCATCATCATCATCATCACCATCACCATCATCGTCATCATCCTTCTCCCCCTTCTCCCTCTCCTGCTTCCTCCTCCTCCTCATTTTCCTCCTCCTCCTCCCCCTACTCCTCCCCCTCCGCGTCCCCATCCTCTGCCTCCTCCCTCCTGCTCCTCGTCCTCCGCATCCTCTTCTTCCTCCGTTTCCTCCTCCTCCTCCTCCTGCTCCTCCTCTGTCCAATTCGCCTCCGCCTCAGTCTCGAGGTGGCCTGCAGCGCGGCATGCATGCGTAGTGCACAGCCCGATATTGTAACTGTCCCCAGGCCAGAGCGCGTTCCTGTGCATGGCCGCACATGTGTGATTGTCTCCAGGCCTGATGCTGGCCGTTCTCGCTCTCCCGCTGGGCATCGGCGTCTTAGGAGGATACGCTCGTGGGTTCGTGGCGTCGTTCAGCAAGCGGTGGCCAGAGACATATAGCAGCAGAATCACGGTCCTCTGTCATGGGTGGCAGTATCGACGGGAAGGGTCGGGAAGCTTCCACTGATCCCTCGGGAAGAACGTCCAGTTTCCCGCGCGAGCCCAGATGGGCGTGCGCGTCATCTCGTCAATGTAGAGATAACGAAGAATTTCGTTGGCAAGATGCATGGCTTTTTGTGCGGGAGAGATCGCAGAGGGAAGCCAGATCCTTCTTTCGTGCCCAATGCTTCATCCAGCGGCAAGCCTCGTCGGCATTCGTTGTCACGTCCTCCTGGGTCCGCCGACGACGCAGCTGGTGGAATTAATGAAGCTACGGCATCCGACGAGGTCGCCAGATGTCGGCGAGCGCTGGGGGCTCTCAAGAAGTTGGGGGCGGATGATTTTTCAGCCCTCATCCAGCAGGCCAAACTCGACCTGGGCGAGGCCGAGAATCGTGAGAAGGCGCAGCGGACTCCCGACTACCTATTGCGACGTGCTTTGGATCGGCAGGGTGCCACTTGCACGGATGCAGAGGAGCTCGAGGGCGTGGTCGACGCGCTCAGCGAGCAGCTCGCAGAAAAGAGGGCTGCGTACGAAATCGTGACGGGTGAGCTGGTGCAGATCCAGGCGGAGGTCGACTTGGCTCGAGCTGCTATGCTTGCCAAGTCAAGTCCGTCTGGCAGTGCTCCCCCCTGAGCTTCAGGTTGCCACTCAACGGCTGGACATTATCATTCAGGCAGTGCCTGCAGCCATCCTAGCGGGCAGCCGCGAGTCCATGCTGGCATCGCTACAGACGCAGCTCGTGCAGGTGCAGCAGGCGGCAGGAGGCGGGCCGACCAGGCCACTCCAGGGGCGCAGGCCCCAGCGGCAAAGGCATCGCAGCCAAGAGTGCCATCGGCCGCCAGGTCCGCGACGCATCGAGCAGGCACATCTCACCCAGAAGGGATCGGACCCACGGCCCGGAGCCAGATGCTGTACATCGAAGATGGTGACGAGGAACAGATGGCAAACGCGCAGCCGCTTCGAGCGCCGTCTGCAGCCTGGTGAGCACTACCGTGCGCCGGATCATCTCAGCCAGAAGTTATTGGACCCACGGCCTGGGATCAGCAGTTGTACATTGACGACGGCGAAAGTGGAAGATGGACCAGGATGGATTCCAATTTTGAACGTGCGATGCCGAGGTTGCTCAACGGGGCTGCTCTGTCTCTGGGTGACACGCCTCTTAGTGGACAACCTCCTCATGGGTCAGGGCATTCACTTGGCGTGAGCGGCGAGGGGCTATCATTGTCAGTGGGTATACCTGTCAGTTCAACATTCGAGCCCGTGGGTATTTCAGGCGACGGTGGCAGGCCAGATGCTACCTTACCCACTGGAGCACCACGGCATAATGGCAATCGCCAAGCTCCGCGTCGAGCTCAACGGAGGCCCTTCAGTTTTGTTGCGTATAGCGCTAGCGGTTGGCATCGCGCGCGGGCGTTCCTCGAAAAGGGGGGGGGGGGGGGGCGCGGGCGCTCATCTGGTGGCGCCACAAGGAGAGCGAGTTCGAAGGGGCGAATGTCGCCTCGCAGAAGAGTGGCGTGCTCGCAACGGTTGGAAGGCGTTCATCTCGGATTGCACCGTTGGGCCCACGGGCGCTATGATGGCGGGAGTTGCGCTTTTTGTGCAAAGCCACATCGGGGCGACCTACCTGGACAGTCTTCCTCGTGCCAGTGATCGCGCGCTCGCTGAGTCGCGGTGCGCTATGCTGCGCGTGCATGGGGCCCCCGAGGCGGCTTCATTGCTGGCCCCATTTACTTGCGGGAAGGAATGGGTCCGGCGCGTGACAGCGTGGCCCGACTTGCTTGAGAAATTGGGCGAAACGCTGCGATCTTACCGCGCCCCGTGCGTCGTCGGTGGCGGCTGGAACATAACCCCCACGGTCCTGAGCGAAACCGATTTCGCGCCCCAGGTCGACGGCCACCTGGTCGTTGCGGATGAGGGCTCGCATGCGGTGTCGAAGACAGGGGATTCTACTTTCATTGGCTACTGGTTGGCCAGTGATAGTACGTCGGCGGTGGTGGGTAAGCCGAGGAGAATCGGCGAATCCGCCCCTCGCCCGCATTACCCAATGATAGTAACGCCGGGACAGAAGCCGACAGCGCGTGGACAACAAAGGTTTTTCTTGCTACGCCTCGCAAGCAGCCCGAGCTGGAAGTGGACGACTCCGATGACGAGCTGGTGGAGCTCGGCGACCCGCAGTTCTTGGACAGAGCGGGTGGGGGCTGCTGGTCAAGTCGGACCAGGCGCTGCTGATGCGCGACAGCAGAGACTTGGCGACTTGTATCGCCACTGTCTTCAGGGGGCTGCACGAGAGCTCGTTCCGCTTTCTCAGCTCGAAGATCCCGCTGCTCATCAGGGCCGCGAGACTTGCATTCAATATCATCGCGTGGCGTCTGGAGGCGCGCTGGCACGCAAGAAGTTTGCAGGTGCTTTGTCGCCGCGTCTTTTCAGGCTGCTACAGCGCGCGTCGACGGCGTCGCGCGCATGGTAGCTAAATTCGCTCACGTGCCTCAATGCAGGCATGGCCCAGTGTGGCAACCGATGCGATATCTGATAGCTTGGAAGGGGCGCGTGCGCCGCCGCGCCGGTTGTCTCCCAGCTGGCGTGGTTCTAGAGGCACCGTCGTAGGTGACCGGCGTCTTCGGTCAGGCTGGATGCCGTCATGCGCGTTTGTCGCGGGGCCCGGCTTTCGCCTTGGCCTCGGCCAGGGCAGGGGCGCGGCAGAAAATAGGCGGGAGTTTATCAACTGGTGGCGCGATTTCCTGGAACATCGCTCGCGGCCCGCGCATCTTTGGACGAAGCCGAAAGGCTGGATGTTGTCGCAGGTGCGCGCCTCCTTAGGCCCTTCCAGCCACGCCTCCGACGTCGCGGGTGCTCAGAGGGACTGCTGGGCTGACATCTGGGACGGGGCCGACGAGCTCGCGTGCATTGGTGGGCTTCGAGGAGAGCCCGCGCGACTTCGGGATTCTGGACCGAGGGCGCCACTCATGGGTGCTCCAAGAGTTCCCCGACCAGGGGCGCAGTGGGGGCCGACGTTTAAAGGCCCCGCCACTGGGCCCTCCTCAGTTCGAGGCATTGTCGATGCTAGCTAGGATGATGATTCTACCGATGTGAGCAGTGGTCTCTTTGGCCCAGCGCTATGCAGTATGTCCACATTGTCCTCCTGGGGAAGCCCGCAGGGGGGTGCAGGCCCATCGCATTGCTCGTGACGCCCTACCAAGCATGGGCTGAGTCTCGGATTACACATGCACGGCAGTGAGCTTCTACTCTTGGGCCCGGGTATCTAACATTAGCTGCTGGCACGTGCGCCGCAGACGTTGCCGCGCGCGTGTTATGGCGAGGGGGATAGCAAGACAAGTCTCCGTCTCGCCCTGACGATGTTGTTGCATTGCGCGCGATTGTTGATGGTGACAAGGCATTCGAGAAGATCGTTTGGAGTTTGATTGTAGAAGCAGGCATTCGGCGCGGCTTCCTCGGCACTCTGTTGTGCCTGGCTCTGCAGATGCTTGGAGCTAGCAGAAGGCTCCGGTGGGAAGGCGGCCGCTCGGAGCCTGCGTGGGCAGCGCGAGGCAGCCTTCCAGGCTGCAGCCTGGCAATGCTCATATTGCAGCTTGTTCTACTCAGCCCCATTGACTCTCTGATGGCGCGTGCGTGTCATGTTGAACGGTCTGTACATCTGCGCGCTGATGCCATTACAGTCCAGGTAGTATCGACGGCCAGGCTCGTCGTGGAGCACGCGTGCGACGTTCTCTCGGAGGTAACTACGACCATAGACGACATCGGGCTAGGCGCAGCCGAGCAACAAATGACAGCCACCAGCCCGAACCTTCGTTGTGCCAAGCAGGTCTGTCGCCGCATTGGCGTACGAGGCTATCGGGTCGTCGATGCACTTGAGGTTCTCGAGGTGGAGGGCGCATCTGTGAGGACGATCTGGCGCAGTCGCATCATCGGAAATCTGACGGCTTGTCAAGCTCGGCTTCGGCGCATGCGTAAGGCGGGACCCCTCTTGGGCACGTGTGTCAAGCAGGCGATGCCAGCAGCGCTAGCCTACAGAGTCGGTGTTCACGGTGCCCCCCTTCTGGTGCAC